AGCTAGGCTGACGCACGGCACTCTAGCCTGGGCAACACAGTGAGACTCTGTCTCAAAAAAAAAAAAAAAAAAAGCAGAAGAAAAGTGCAGTGTGGTCATTTTCCAAGTGACAGCTCTGAAAATCTGTCATCTACAATACAAACCATTATGTTGGACAAATACACCAAAAATTCAGTACTCTGCAGTACTCATTTATTTCAGTATGTGTAGGGTGTTGATGGTAATATTTTTAAAAAGTTGGGAAAGGAAGAAGTAGATTTTTACTTCAAATGTTATTCTTTTGAGCCTCTTGTGATTTCTTTTGGTTACTCTGTTGTGTCCTCTACTCGTTATTTTAGCTTGGATATTTTATAAATAATAATTAAAGTACAAAACTATCCCTTTTCAAAGCAGCATGAATCTTACTTTGCTTCTCTACGTTAATATTGACTTCTACTTCATTTCTCTACATTAATATTTACTTTCTAATTTCATTTCTGGAAAAATATATGAGAGGTCTGAAGAATTAAAATGTCCAGTTTCTGCCTGATCTGTTTGGGCCTGGGCGGGTAGCAGGACGAAGAGCTCTCGTCCCCCCAGCCTTCTTGTCCCACCTCCCCATGGATGGTTTGCTGTCTCAGGGAGGCATGTGGCTCTTTCCAGGCACGTGCGACTTGGACTTCAACAGGGTCTTTGGAAGTTCGCGATAAAAGATCTCGTAAAACCAGGTGAAGGCAGAGAACGTAAAGGGGAGATATTTGCCCCAGCCTGCGTCTCACGCTTTTGTCCAGCCCTGCATCCGACCTATCACAGACGACAAAATGTCAGGACAGTGTGAAGAGGAGTGGAGTTCAAAGGCTGGGTGTCCTCTCCACTACTGGTAACACTTCCGGATGAAACACTGAACACTCTCTGTTCCCTGCATTGTTAAAGTCAGACGCTTACTTGGAGACTTAGTTACCGTGGAAGCCCAGGTGCCTTTGCTCATAGAAAGCACGATCACCTCCGCAGACGTTTCCAGGCTTACCTGTTTCCCTCCTCACCCCCAGTCCTTCCTCCACCTGCTTCCTCTTGTCAAGTGATGGGTCTCCCTGGCTGTGCGGTAAGACAGGCGATTAAGATCAGCGTCTTACGAAAAAGGCTGCGTTTCAGAGGGAACAGCAGCACTGTGATCTTGGTCGCGGTGAGTTTGAGGCATCCAAGGAGGGATACAGGAAGTGGGCCAAACTCTCAGACCGGGGTCTGAGCTGGAGACACACATCTGGGAGCCATAAGGATGTGGGTGAGGATTAAGCCTCAAGCAGTTAGCAAAAAGAATCCAGCAGTGTGTTTTATTTAAACTATTTATTTATTTAACAGTTCAGTAGCGCTTGCTATGTCCCAGGTCCTATCTGAAGCACTCTGGAATATTAACTAATTTAAAAGAATAACAATCATGGTTCCGTAGTTCTTCTCTCAAGAAATCTAGAACAGCTCAATTTTTAAAAGAGACAAGTTTGTAGGTGGCAACTAATTACATTTATATTTTCTCTTCTGTTTCTATCTCTTACTGCTACCCTGGCTTGTTTTGCTGATTGTAATTTCTATCATTGCTTCTCAAATTTGTTTTTTTTTTTTTCTAAAGAAATGCTCTAGAACTACTGAGAAGGGGCTAGTGGGCATGACCAGAAGCTGTCTGCTTGTAGTTTTTTTACTCTTTATTTTGTTCTAAAAACTGGTGTGATTTTTATATTCTAGTCCATATACTATTTGTGCTTATTTTGATATAAAGATTCTGTTCTTAATTACATGTTTATCCTGGGCCTTATGTACCTCATCATCATGTACTTCTGGAGATATGTAAACTCTGGTTTAGAAAGCTCTCATTTACATGGTATTGAGTTTATATAATTCCGTTCTGGGGTACTTGCATTGCCAAAAAAACAAGCTCACTAGATCGCTTGCTTTTATTCTTGTTCTCTCCTGCTTTTTGGGGTATAGCGTGTAGCTGAACTGGTTAGCGCATCATGGTACTGAGGCCAGAGCTGCTGATTTCAGAGTTCCTGGTAGGCTAGTTAGGTTTATCCAAAACAAAAAAATGCAAAGAATGTCATGTCCACACTCTAGCTTTAGATAGAACTACCCAGTAAATAGAGTAAATATAAACTGTTTGTCAGCAGAACTCATTCTCATTTATGGGAAGATAACTTAGAGTTAATCTTCTATTAACGAGTAAATTAGTTTCACTTCTATGTGTGTGTGTGTGTGTGTGTGTGTGTGTGTGTGTGTGTGTGTGTGTAGCAAAGTGAAGGGAAGTTAATACCAATCATTTTTTTCTTCTTCTTGTCAGTCTGGTAAGAATGTTAAAGGAAAGAGCTTTTAGGGAATATTAAGTTTATATACCTGCTTGTATCTTTGTATTATCCATTTTATCCTTATATATAACAACACATAGCACTTATATTTTGTACTAGGCACTTTTCTGTATTACGTATATTAATGCATTTATTCACAACAACCCGTGTTCTGTTACTATTCTGATTTTACAAAATAGTAACAATTAAGTAACTTACTCAAAGATATGTAGCTAGTGAGTGGCGAATCCATGCAGTTTGACTCCAGAATTATTTAATCGATATATTTATAGAAGTTGCTTAATAAAAGCTTAAACATCTTTAAAGCTATGCCGAGCATATCCTCCAGCATATAGTAAGTGTTCAATAAATGCTAGCTGAATAAATGACGTGAAATGCGTCTTCAGTAGCGTGGCACTTGGTGGAGAGGCACACACTTCCAGGCATCTTTGGAAACAGGATCTTAAAAGGACAGTGAGCTATTTCAAAAATACAGATCCATTTTCTTCTCATATAATGCCTAATCTACATCGTGTATTTGTGTGTACACGCAAAATGATTGATAATACTGACCCAGCGTAGGGAACGGGTCCATTTCATTTCGCTTGTTCGTTTCTTCAGTTGGAAATACTCACCGAGAGCCTTCTCTGCAGACAAACTGTGGTTTGATACATAAATTGGTAAAATGTGGTCTTTTCCCCCAAGCAGTATATGAGCTCATGCAGGAAATCATTTGCACAAACTAACTATAAAACAAAATGAAGAACATCCCAAGCACCACATTAAAAGTACAAATAAGAAGTTGTAGATTTAAAGGAGAAAGAGATTTCTCAGAGCTATAAAAGTTAGAGAGCATCGCCTGGGAGGAGGGGCATTTGAAAGAGGAGTAGAATGTTAATAGCTGCAGAACCTGACACATAGCAGGTGCTAAGTAAACGGTAACCTCCCCCCCTTCCTCTTCTGGTAGAAAACCCAAATCCAACTAGTTTGTATTTTTTGTTCATTTGAGTCACTCTGCAGTGTTCTGAGTGTGCTTAGAACCTGGGCTAGCGTGAAGAGCAAGAGCTTTAAGCTTAAAGACGTGATTGCAAGCAAGTTACCTCTCTCCATCCCAGTGATCAAAGCCAAGGACAGAACATACTCTACACGTAAGCCGAACAGATGCCCGAACAGTCGCGCAACCTCTCTAGACCTTAATCTCCACATCTGCAAAGTAAAGTGATTAAAGTAGATAATTCAGATGGTCCTGTGACCTCTAACCATGATTTTCAGGTTAACGTATTAAAAAACAACCATTCGCATCTCCCCTAAGTTCTAATGTTCTTATAGTTGGTCTGGTTGTATTGTTTTTGTTTCCAAAACTGAGTGATCCCCCTTGAGACCCCCAGCTTTGCGGGGAGGTGTCTGGGTCTCAGGGCGAGGAAGGCAGAACTCGCCCGTGACTCGTTCATGTCAAGAATCACTCTTGCAGGCTCTGTTAGGGTCACCCCTGCTGCCTGAACCGTCTCAGACCCAAGAAAAAAACTGCGGAGTATAGAATTTGGGGTCCACTGTGACCAAAAGAATAGATATTTCTAGCACAAAGATTTATTTTTTTTAAAAAAGAGATTTGAGACTATTGTTTTGAAAAACAGCAAATCATGAGCTGATCTCATGTGAGCTCTCTATTGAGAGGTTAAAGACCTCTCTCCTTCCCACCTGCTTTCTGTACGAATTGAGAAATATTTAAGTTTGTTCTGACTTCAAAGTCAAATTAACATCAACTTTGAAGACAGCACTTAAGTTATTCCCAATTTCAAGGCCTTCAGTATCCTCTAAGAGCCACATGAAACCTGTAGGCATTTTAAATAGTAAAAAAGCAGAATATTTAAAGAGCATTTCCCAGGTACCCCTTAATTCCGCACATCAGCCCTGCATTTACACTCACTGTCCGCGGGTTCGGCCTCGGAAGGCGCGCTGCTCCGCGCGGACGGTGTTCGAGAGCCCCGAGTCAGCTGTGTGAAGTGATTCTGTTCAGCATCACTTCCCCCAAATGAGTTAAAACCTAAGTTTTTATATTTGACGTTTCGTGCATTTGTCTCGTCTCCCCCGCCCCCCGTACCTGGAGTGAGGCACAAACAAAGGGATGTCGTCTGGGACGAGGAGTAGGTGTCATCTCTAGGTGGCGTTCGCAGCTACCGGGCAGCGCGCTCCGGGGAGGGTGAGCTCGAGAAACAACCTGGGGGCGTTTCCCGTGGAATCCGACTGATCCCGGACGGCGTGACCTTGGCGCCCGGAGGCCCCACTCGCCGGAGAGCTTAGTTGGAGCTGCGGTGGCGGAGACCAGATGAATCATATCAAGTGTGACCACCACGGGGCTGAAGTCGCTTCCTAATTAATCTCTGATCCTCCGAGGCGTCACGTGCCCCAGATCTGTGTGTCCACCAGGGGACCGACGGAAACGTGGAAGTGGCCATTCACCTGATCCCGGGGCACCGCGGGAAGCGTCTGCTCACGAAGCGCTGTTGTTTTTCATCCTACACAGAACGATCGTCCACCATTTCATTGACCAGAGCGAGAGAACGAGGGCAAATAAGTAAATAATTTTAAAGTCCATTTCGATGACTGTCCTGCTGGCAGCACCTTTCCTCCTCCAGGAGGCCCTCGGGATCTGCTGAAGACGACCCTGTTCTCCCCGATTGTGGAATCTCGAGAAAAGCTAACAGGCCGACTTGTGTCCGTAGGATCTGAAGACTAAATACTGTTTCGTTCTAGACCTTCAGTGTTAATGGCGGAAAACATTTTGTTGCTTTTCTGTTGCTCTTCTGGTCAGGTGGCCATGACTCTCTTGGTTCTCTTTCCCAGGCATGTCCAGGCATCCTCCAGCTCCCGACATCCCCGCCTTCTACCCCCTGTCTCCGGGTGGCGTTGGACAGATCACCCCGCCTCTTGGCTGGTAAGATCCTTCCTGTAACCTTCAGCCGGGCGTCGAATGCATGTTCTTCCATTTTCCCTTCATGGCAGTCAGCCTCACGAATGGTAACTCACCCTTGTGGAGGTGAAGAAATCTCACATCAACAAGCAAGGTGCTAACTGCATTCATTTCAATTTAAAAGATTAAAAAACATACAGACTTTGAAATGGATTGAATCCGTTTGCTAATAGGTGTAGAAAATGACTGTATAGCATTTGCTTTGAAGCTCAGAGTTTTATGCATTCAGTTTGTGGCTTTGGGCATTTGCTGTGCCCTGCACAAAGTTAGTGCTCAATGTGGGTTTTTTCTCCCCTAGGTTTTTTAGGAACAACTTACATTTTTGAGACATAAACTTAGATGCACTGAATATCTATCTCTGCTTATAGGTGGGCAAGGGAGGTAAATAACATAACTAGAGAGAAATTCAACAATACAAAAGTATCTTCTGAATTTTAATAAAGCAAGCATCCAATCTGAGTTCAGAGTAGTAAATGTGGGGTCTTTTTTTTTTTTTTAGAATCCAAATACTTAATGTTCTTTATTTTGTTTTATTTCTAAAAACATTCTTGCTGCTGCCTTCAAAATCTTTTAAATTACAAAGATAAAGGAGATTTTGTGAAGAAAGAATAATTCTACGTAGTCTAACCTATTGTAATCGTTTTGTGATTAGCACACAGCTTTCCCTCCTCCCACCACCATCCTCCCTCCGCCCTTCCCCTCCCCACCTCTCACTCACAGAAATCACCCTTCAACCCGAGCACATGTTTCTCTCTCTCCGTTTGGGTCTCTGTCCCTACAGCCCCACGTCACTGCTGCCATCTCCCTACCTGGCCACCCTTACCTGGTCTCTTCTTCAGCAAGGAAGGGTCGCCCTGCCGTGGACATTCCGGCTTCCTCCCTCCTCCCTCTCCTTTCTCTCTGTCTCTCCCCCGTCATCAGCATCCAGTCTCTTAGTCAGTAACTGAAGTTAATTGATCGTGCGCACACTTTCAAACCTAGATCGATCATCTGTCTGAACTGAGCTACCTAAGGGCACAAATGCTGTGCCGAGTTGCACCGCTGGCAGCGGGAAATAGACTGAAAATGAAAAATGAGAGACGTGGGAAGAACAGAGGGAAAGGTGGGCTTCCCAGGGTGGAAAGAAAATAATGGCAACGCACTGGTCTTTCATTTCTTGACTCTAACGTGTGCACATAGAGGGGAAGTGCTTTTTAAATGTTTGTGCATTTGTACATAAATATAAAATTTTATTTCCTCCTTTCTCCCCTTCCCTGAGATTCTCAAAGATTCCGATAAAGGATTCCCTGAGCTCCTTCCCCAAAGGGAACATGTCACCGCTCTCAGGGGTCCGTTATAGTCGATAACCATTTATTAAGTGCCTACTTTGTTCAAAGCATTAATGGGGTTGGGGAAGGGGAAGGGATAAAAGACGAGGAATTTGTGGACTGGTTCGTTTCCACGCTGGGGGCGGGAGATTGCTTGAAGGCAGGCAGCGCTCGATGGGGTGGAGGGTGAGGAAGGGGAACGGCCCCCGTCCGCAGAGATGCGTGGCCCGTGACGCTCCCCCGGGCCCTGTCTGCCTCTCCCCTCCTCTCCCCTCGTCCCGCTCTGAACTGCTGGGTGGTAACCGGTGTTTCGTCATTGACGGGCTCCTTTCTTCTGTGACCTCAGGCAAGGTCAGCCTGTATATCCCATCACGGGTGGATTCAGGCAACCCTACCCGTCCTCACTGTCAGTCGACACTTCCATGTCCAGGTAGGTGGAGGCGGAACCCGGGGCAGCGGAGGACGAGCTGCTCTTCCTGTGCTTGCGTCCTGTGCGCCTCTGCTTGCCCAGCCGGCCACGTGTCTGTGCAGCGGGCCTGGCTCCCACACTAGGTGTCACATTCCCGGGGGTGTCCCCCAGCCAGGCCGACCACACCCCTCAGGGGAGCGGACTCAGCGTCCCCGAGGAGCTTTGCGTCCAGAAGAACGCATCGTCCCCCGACCGTGGGCTGGGATTTGTCCCCAAAGCGGATGTCGAAAGAAGAGCTTGTCGGATTCAAAATACGCTGGGGGTGGAGAAAGGGAGGAGAATAGAGCTGGGTGTGGTCTGAGGTCTGCAGTCCGCTCCCTTTGAGGAAAGCGGAATCAGTTCGATAGGCAGCGTCCGAAGACGCCCGGGCGGTCCAGGCTCCAGAGCCTCCAGGCCCCAGGCTGTCGGGACAGACGGGACAGTGCCGCCAGGCTGCGCAGGGCGTCCGTCCTAGTGTGTGACTCAGGCACCGCGCGGACGTGGCCCCGCGGCGGAGCTTGGTGGGGGCTGCTCTGTGTGATGCTTTTGCTTCTGGAAGGCCGGCTTCTGTGCCCTGTGCTCGATGTACACACGTGTGTGGTGCATCATCTGTGTGTTCCGTGTGGCTTTTCAAGGGAGCTAGCATGACTGTGCTGGAAGTCGAACCGGTGAGTTACCAACTGGTTGTGGATCTGTCTTTTTCCTATGGGTCAGAAAGTCTCGGTTCCCGTAGCGAATTACAGCTTTACAAGAAATAATTATTTTTTTCAGTGAGTCGTAAATCTCGCTGACTGTCGGTGGCGGGGAATCGAATTAACATCCTTCCCCCTAAAACATCCTTTTACACGTTTCAACACTGCGAGATCTGTATGATGACAGAGGTTTCTCACAGGCAAATGACCAGCATCATGTATTTTTGCAGACGGCACATTGAGCAGAGCAACATTATTTGGTCAAAGATTTGTATTTTCACCATGCTTTCTTAATAGTTTAAAATCTGTTTCTGAAATACTACAAATCCAAGCAGAGTTCCTGTCCCGGTGAAGGAATTAATTGTACAGGCTATGATGAAAGATGTGAGAATGTTGTTTTTGTTGAATTAAATGTTTCCTTTAAGAGAGTTTGAAAAGTAAAAATTTCTAAAACGTATCCCAGTTTATCTAAAGCACCCGTGGAGAGTGCTGTCTTTATTTATTTGTTTTATTTTTCTTGCACGGCAGTTTCCCTCCTCGGTGTTGGCTGGTGGTGGGTGTTTTAAGATTCCTTTTATGATTGGCAAGCGTATTGGGAAAAAGCCTTTAGCGGGGATAGTTTTTACCTTGGTGCAGACCTGGAGCCTTCCCTGTAGTTAAATCTTTCCCCTTGATTCTGTTACCAGCTTTCCATCGGGCTAGAGCTCTCAGGTATTACTTTATTTCTGCAGAGAAATCAATTTGTATGATGTGAATGGAAACTTTACTAAATAGGGGACTCATTCCTGTCCCTTTAGTTGTTCCCGCCTAGTATTAATGAAGAAGTGAACAATACAAGAAAACTCTTAATGTGATGGTTTTCTTAGGAATGTAGGCAGAGATATTTAAATATGATGTCTTTAGCGTTTATTTAAAAATAATTTTAAGGGCCGGGCGCAGTGGCTCACACCTGTAATCCTAGCTCTCTGGGAGGCCGAGGCGGGCAGATTGTTTGAGCTCAGGAGTTCGAAACCAGCCTGAGCAAGAGCGAGACCCCGTCTCTACTAAAAATAGAAAGAAATTAATTGGACAACTAAAAATATATAGAAAAAAACTAGCCGGGCATGATGGCACATGCCTGTAGTCCCAGCTACTCGGGAGGCTGAGGCAGGAGGACCGCTTGAGCCCAGGAGTTTGAGGTTGCTGTGAGCTAGGATGACACCACGGCACTCTAGCCTGGGCAACACAGTGAGACTCTGTCTCAAAAAAATAATAATAATAATTTTAAACGCTAAATCTTAATAAAGTGTTATATTTCCAGTAATTACTCTCATTGAAATTCTTACTTGAAAATTGCTTTGCAAGAAAAATGATTCACTTTTTTTTTTTAATCCTATGGTCCGCAGTTCTCCCAGGAAAAATGTCACGTTCTACTGTTAGTTTGAAGAACTACGGGGAATAATTATAAATACTTTCCACCTGAATACAGTAAGAACAAATAAGCATTAGCCCAATCTGATTTACAGTTCATGCTCCAGTGTGTAACTCTTAGCCAGCAGCACTTAATAGATCGTTTTGAAATTCTGTCCGGCTTTTGCTGCAGCAGCCAGTGGTACATATTTTTTTCTTCTCTTTCCTTCTTTTAGGTTCTCCCATCATATGATTCCTGGTCCTCCTGGTCCCCACACAACTGGCATCCCTCACCCAGCTATCGTAACACCTCAGGTCAAGCAGGAGCACCCCCACGCTGACGGCGACCTGATGCACGTGTACGTATGCACCTGCGCTCACCCGCGCAGCCCGCCGTTGCTGCCGCTCTGTTGTTCATTCTTCCCCTCTCTGTCAGCAAGAGTTCAGCGTAGCTCTGCCTCGAAAGCTCTGTCCCTGAGGACATTACGCAGCTTGATTCTCGCTGCACCGATTTTGATTCCGAGATTGGAAAGGGGCCTAGACCATGGGGACGTCACCAGGAGGAAGGCGCCTCCGGAGCATAGGCATTGAAGACTCTTGAGCTGGGTAGCCACGTGCCGCCAGCTTGCAGTTTGGTCCAGATCATTGAGGGGCAGAACCTGTTAGTACCTGAGTGAGTTAGACCGGAGGGTTTAATGCACTTCCCGACTGGAGGCTTCCGCAGCACAGGATGCAAGAGAAAGGAGCACACAACGCCCAGGATTCCCTGTTGGGCCAAGGTTGTCCCGGACTGTTAGACCAGCACTAAATTAATTTGACCTGGAGAGATGAGTGATCGAGCTTCTGAATCCGGGTTCCGTGGACGGGGGTGGGTAGGCGGGGGCAGGCAGCACGTGGTAGTCCGGAAACCCCTTGCGGTGCACGCAAAGGCAACGTGCATCGTTCAAGGGAAAGGGTCTAGAGTTTCATTAGCTTCTCAAAGTGGCCCTAGACCCCACGCTCAAAGTTAACACCCCTGTTCTGAAAGAGACGTGGTCAGCTGTGTGATGTGTTCGGCTTGTTCCGAGGTGACTAAGGAACTCAGCCTCGGGGCCCTGGACGAAGTACCGTCCCAGAGCCAAATGCATTTCCATTTCGCGTTAAACACTCCCGTAGCCGTAGCTGCGCTTCTCCAGACCAAAGGACTTGTGTTCTCACAGAGCTGCTGCGTAGCTAAGAAGCCTGTCGGGTGGGTTGTTTGCCTCTCAGTGTTCCAAGTGAGTCAAGAGCTGCTCTTCCAAGGTGACGGCGTCCGGAGCGTGAGGTCGTCCGGGCCCGAGCGTGGCGACGTAAACGGGTGCTTTGCTTCTCTCCTCCCCCATCCCTGCCTCGTCCCTTCCACCCCTGCCCCTACCCACCACCACCACCGCCTTTTAGGAAGCCTCAGCACGAACAGAGGAAGGAGCAGGAGCCAAAAAGACCTCACATTAAGAAGCCTCTGAATGCTTTTATGTTATACATGAAAGAGATGAGAGCGAACGTCGTAGCCGAGTGTACTCTAAAGGAGAGCGCAGCTATCAACCAGATCTTAGGCAGAAGGGTAAGTACGGGGCGGTACATAAATGTTCACGGCAATCGCGGAACCGCTTCTTTAAACTCTGCCCGAATTTCATTACTTCTCAGGTGGTCACTGAATGCGTTTGTATAGCACGTCCTTCGGGAAGTGACAGAGGGCACGAGATATGGTAATGGCCTTTAGGAAGATTAAATAGGATGCATCGTAAACAGCCAGACTGCACCTGGCACATAGGAACTTCCCGTAAATGATAACTGTTTTTACTGTTATCATCATCTAAACAAATATCTATCGAGCATCTTTTCGTGCCAGGCAGGAAGCTAGGCAGTGAGGAGTAACTGCTGTATAAAATAGATACGGTCTTTCTGGAGCTTGAAGTTTTGCGACAGGATACAGACCTCAGACGATTACCCAATAAATATATAAGTAAAATTGTGATAAATACTGTGAACGTACACAGCAAGATTCGATGAGAAAGAACAACAGGGGCTTGGGAATGCCCCTCCGAGGAAGTTGTCCTGAAGCTGGGACCCGAGAGATGAGCAAAGAGAGGGGGGCTGGCTGCACGCCGCGGGGGACAGGTGGGTGCGGACCCCGAGGTGGGAAAGTACGCAGCCCTGTTGGGAGCTGCAGCCAGGCCAGTGGGGGACCAGCCTGGCAAATAGATGGCGGCCACACCTGAGACACAGCAGATCTCCACTGTGCTTCCAGTTCTTTAATTGGAAGAATTTATGTGGTCCCAAGAAGTACTGATTCTAGAAAGATAGCTCTCTGATTTTATTCATTTTATTTTACTTTGTTTTGTTTTGTTTTATTTATTTATTTATTTTTGAGCCAGAGTCTTGCTATGTTGTCCAGGCTAGAGTGCAGTGGTGTTACCATAGCTCACTGCAGCCTCCAACTCCTGGGCTCCAGGGATCCTTCCACCTCAGCATCCCGAGTAGCTGGGACTACAGACACATGCCACCATGCTGGGCTAATTATGTTTTAAAATATTTTGTATAGGCTGGTCTCGAACTCCTGGGCTCTAGTGATCCTCCCATCTCAGCCTCCCAGAGTGCTGGGATTGCAGGCGTGAGCCCGGCCCGCTCTCTGTTCTCCGAGTGTGCGTGTGTCAGCTTTCTGACTGCCTCTTTCCTTCATTCCTTCTGTCATCCGTGCTGTGATATTTTCCTGAGCACCTGCTGTGGCACTAGGCTCCTCCTAGGGTAGACACTCTCAGATTCTTTATCTAACCACCGCCAGGACACTGGCCAGTGCAGCCAGGTACTCTTCACAGGAGTGAAATCGTTGTCATTAGGTATCCGAAGAGTGGCAGAAAAAATCTGAATCTAACTCAGGTTACATGTTCACTGTAATTACATCATAATTTTAGAAATGTTTCATCTTACTTTGTTGGTGCTCTTCATATATGTGTGGCAGCTTCTTAATTTATGATCCTGTGTATGTGTTTTTGCAAACTCTCAAGAAATTCATGATGTGCAAGAGAACATTCAGGCGAGGAGGGTCTAACAACCCGTGTGAAACACAGAGCATCATGTGTTCGCCATTGTCGTTGACAATTCTCACCGTGTTGGTTCCAAACTGATACATGTGCATTCATAGCAGAACGCGCTCAGGAGGCTGCCAGTCCGTGTGAGCAGGGGGGAGGCCGGCCTCCTTGCATTATCGATTCCCATCGGGTAGCTGCAAATGCAGCTATTTCCACTCTGCAAGACTCCAGGGTTTCGTGGGTAGGGTGCGGTGGTAGATTATAGCTCTTTTTTGGTGTCCTGTGTACAATGCCCCATCTCCCTGTGGATTCTTAAACACTTAATGACAGTAATTACAATGATTTCCCAAGCCAGATCATAGCAGATGACTGAGTCCCATCATCTTTGAAGAACTCCACCTTAAAAGCTGATGGCCATTTTCCTTGACTCTTTAAAAGAAGAAATCAGAGGAGAAGAAGGGTTGCTGTTTTTATTTCAGCTGTGTAAAACTCTCAGCTTTTTTTTTCTTTTCTGTGTTAAAGGCCCCCTGGCCCTCCAGCGGGAATTATTCTCCTGCCCAAGAGAGCGAGGAGGTGATATGAAGATATGCTTCCTATTTTTAATGCACGTCTCCAACAATTGCTACTTTCTCAGCTCCCTTAACAATCCCCAGACCCGAGCATGTGTCCTAAAGAATGGTTCTCATCTGGGGTCTTTCTCTGTCTTTGATTTAGACACCTGTTTCTATTTATAGGTCTCTGAGATCTTTGATTAAGATCAGGTTTTCTCAACTCCCCGTTCATAGCTCCCCTCTGGCGGGGCAGCCTCTTTAAAGGGCCTGGCTTTAAAATCATGAAGTTTTACACTGGGATTATTAGAGTTCTTAAAAGTGGATCTGAAATCCATCCCAGAGCATTTTATCTTTTGATTTTTATTCATCTTTACTGTAACCCTATGAAATGTTCATTCATATGAATTAAAATTTTATTCTAAATTCATATTATAAATAAGAATAGCACAAATCTTGTTTTAAAATAAGCTTTTTCTATTCAGACCTTTCTGGCTAATAAAGGAATTCCATTTATTAGAAGTTTATTGTGAGAATGTTTTGTCTTGGAACTGTTTGAGTTTCTTCGAATTAAATGGGTCTTTTCCCCACAACTCGTGAAACCTTGACCATGAAATTTGATTTTTTAGAAACTTTAAATTTTTCAATAAGCAAAGAGATGGAAAAGTGATTTTGGTCAGTTGTGTTTCAGAAATTCCTTTAAAGAAAGACCATTTTTCTAGTCTGTATTTTTGTTTTCAGTGTAAAACTTCAGTACCACTGCTTTTTTTATCCAATGTATTAGGTAAATGATCTCTTATTTGCAAGTGGGTTTTGTGCATTAGAAATACCAGAGAACTAAAAGCAATTGAAAATGCAAATAAATAGTCCAGTTTGTGTCCTGCTTTTTCTCCTGGCATTGTATTCAGTTTTGCTAGCTGAGGTCTTCTTGTCAATCTAAGTTTCCTGCTTTAACTGAAAAATACCTGGCTGTTTGCGCGGAAGACCCAACCTTGATACGTATTTTGGGAGTTAATTTGTATTTGTGATCCTAAGTTTTCTCAGCAAGTTACGAAGCCGCCATAAATGATGTAAAATTATACGGACATATTGCAGTACTAAAAAGTGTTGTATCTAGGGGAATGATACTTGTCAAATTAACAAACAAATTTAAAATGGAAGACTGCTTTCTTGTCACTTTTTTTCTTTTTGTCTCTTTTTTTTTTTTTCCTTTTCGGTAACACTTTGTCTCTTGCAAATCATATTTATTTAGCACCGGAACTAACTGTGTAAATGCCAGGGATCAGCGTTTTCTCAGAAAAACCAAGGATGATCTGTTCCATTGTGTCCAGGTTGATCTTTCCTGCCTGTGACCGTCCCGTCGCCCTGGGTTCAGAAAGCGGTTGGTTGGTAGAGGCGGCGTGAGATGGCGAGACTGGGACAGACAGGCTGACTTCTGATGTCTTTCTCTCTGTAGACAGTGTCCTGTGATTAAGGTTCCAGACTCTTCATATGACACAGGGAGAGAACGTCCATGGGAGGAGAGGGTGTATCTGTTTTAAAAGACATCTGGAAATTATCACATTTTGCATAAATAAATAGGACTTGGGCTCAGATATCAGAATATGCTACAGACTATGAAAAAGGGCTGAGTTGGGTGTTGAGGTTCACCAGTGAAAGTTCTTTTTAATTTATATTGGAAAAGAGAAGGGGTGGGTGACAGAGATCGTTCTACTTTGAATGCTTTGATTGACTTTGATGTGTTTCATGTGATATCGGAGAACAGGATAAAGAAACCAAAGTTTGAGTTTCACTCTAGCCACCAGACTCCACGTAGATTTCTGTGGCACTTGGCACTTGGTCTTCCGCCATTTAAAAATAAATGAGCCTGTAATCCTAGCTCTCTGGGAGGCCGAGGCGGGCGGATCGTTTGAGCTCAGGAGTTCGAAACCAGCCTGAGCAAGAGCGAGACCCCGTCTCTACTAAAAATAGAAAGAAATTAATTGGACAACTAAAAATACATAGAAAAAACACCCGGGCATGGTGGCGCATGCCTGTAGTCCCAGCTACTCGGGAGGCTGAGGCAGGAGGATCGCTTGAGCCCAGGAGTTTGAGGTTGCTGTGAGCTAGGAGGATGCCACTCTAGCCTGGGCAACACAGTGAGACTCTGTCTCAAAAAAAATAAATAAAATAAATAAATAAAGTTTAAATGCTTAATATTTTCACCTTTCGATGCTGGAAACATGAAATGCACTGTTGCTGTTTCGCTTGCTTTTGTTTCTGTTTCAGTGGCATGCCCTCTCGCGAGAAGAGCAGGCCAAATACTATGAACTAGCCCGGAAGGAGAGACAGCTCCACATGCAGCTCTACCCAGGCTGGTCCGCGCGGGACAATTACGTAAGCCCCTCCCACGCCGTGGCTCTCCACTTGCCCTCCTTTCCTTCTGCTTTCAGAAAGGGAGTGTGTTTTAGGGCGTATGCGATGCTGGTACTATTTCCTATTTTGGGAAGTTAATGAACTTAGTGATGAAGATTTCATGGCTATATTGCGTTACGAAAGCCTTGAGCTGGCATAATCGTTTTTGTTTCTGCTCTAGGTGCTGATGTATTTTTTTTTAAATCAAGCTTCTTCACAAAAAAAGAAGCACCTTTCATTAAAATGTTGATTAAAAAGATGAAACCAAAAGCTCATAATTTTACCATGTAAAGGCAACAGACATTAGTAATAACGACTTATATTACCTCCTAGTATTTTCTTTGAGCGTTTTATTTTTTGTATGTGTGTGCGCACACACACTTTTGTGCCACCCTTCTTGCTCTTACACATAAAAAGCATCTTTCTGCCACGGCAAAGTGCGCACATAGATTAAAATTCCATTGAGTGAATGTTACGATTTATCATTTTTTCCTGCTTTTAGACATTTACGTTTCTTTCTATTCTTTTTTTTTTTTTTTTTTTTTTACAAACACAGATAATCCTGCAGTGAACATATCTGTACATAGCCGTTTTGGGGAATTGTTGAGTTAAAGGATATAAATAGTTTAACGTTCTTGATACATACTGTCAAGTTGCTTTCTAAAGGATTGTATCATTTTACGCTTCTTATAATCACTGTATTCAGTGATTTCTGTTTTGCCATAGACTAATTAGAACTGGGTAAAAAAAAAAAAATCATATTAATGTCCCCTGACATCTACTACATATTTTATTCAGACACAGTAGGTATTATCACGTTGAAGGTGTCCTAGTTTTATTGGCGAGAAATACCTCGTTTATATTGCCAGTTCTTTTATTGCTGTGATGTTTGAGCATTTTACTAATGTAGTCTTGATGTGGCAAAGACTGTTTCTGAGAAACTGTATTATAAATGGTATATTTAAAGTTTTATAGAGGAGAATGATTTTGACTATTTAAGCTCTTAAACTGTGAAGATCATTCTTGCGTTAGTTCATAAAGTCTACTGTAACAGAACAGCACAGACTGGGAGGCTCATAGACAGCAGAAATTGATTTCTCACACTTCTGGAGGCTGGGATGTCCAAGACGAAGGTGCGGCAGAGTTGGTTTCTGGTGAGGTCCCGCTTCCGGTCTCCTCGCTCTGTCCTCACAAGCTGGAAGGGGCAAGGGAGCTCTCTAAGGTTGCCCTCTCTCTTTTTCCTTTTCTCTTTTTAGAGATAGGGTCTTGCTCTGTTGCCCAGGCTGAAGTGCAGAGGTGTCATCATAGCTCACTATGACCTCTAACTCCTGGGCTCCAGTGATCCTCCCTCCTCAGTCTCCCAAGTAGCTGGAACAGTAGGCATGCACCACCACGCCTGGTTTTTCTATTTCTAAATTTTTTGTAAAGATGGGGTCTTGACATGTTGTCCAGGCTGATCACAAATATGCTCTCTTTTATAAGGGCACGACTCCCATTGATCAGGGCCCCTTGCTCATGCCCTGAGAACGTCCCAAAGGCCCCTCATTATGCCGTCACACTGGGGGCTAGGATCTCAACATGAGTTTGAGGGGATACACAGTTCAGTCTATCGTGATTCTCGTGGTCTGTGTAGGACTAGCATTGGAGATGCCAGCGGGGACAGTCTGAATAGTGCCTTTTAAAGAGGGCAAAGTCGAAGCCCTCGATCAATAAACAATTTAATACGAGACTGCTGCCGTAGATGCTCCGGGGGACTGACGTTCCCGCAGCGATGATGACAGGGATGCGCATCTGAGGTCATAAATGCGTGTCAGCTTATTTCTGGAAATGGGCCGCACAATTGGTTTCCTGCAACGCGCCGCACAGAAAAAGTCACTTCACTAGTCGGGATCTGGAGCCCACACGCTGGCTGCGAGGACAGTACGGGAAGTTAGAGTCCTGCCGTTCCTTACTTTCGAGCAACGCAGCCCACTCTGCTGAGTGTGTTGGTAACTACCATTCGCTGATCGTCAGGAACTGTTTAAATTCTTTCTGTATCGTTTTCTAATCCTCGCAACAATCCAGCGGCACGAGCTTATTACGATTCCATTTCTCAGGTGAGGGGATCGAGGGGTCGAAGAGGTGAAGTAATTTGTCCAAGGCCACGCAGTGGGCGGCTAAGCCACAGTCTACACCCAGGTCTCTCTGACTTCAAACTCGACGCAGTTTCCCTCCTCCTGATTGGCTCAGTCTTGAGTCCCTTGTTAAGACTGCGTTGGCTGAAGAATTTTCGCCCCTGAACCGGGCTTCTGTTCTCCGAGCAGTGGCTGCTGTCTCTGTGCAGAGCCTCTGCGAGGCCCCTTACGTGGGAAGGCCGGTCCCCCAGCTGAGGGTTTCAAAAGTGGCGCCTGCTCATCCTGTCCTGGGCGTGCTTTGCCGGAGTGGGGGGAGCTGGCTCCCCTCTCTGCCCTGTGTACGCTTTGCTGTGCTGTGGGTTTCAGTTAGCCCTGCTGGTGGAATGCCTTTACATTTCTTTCTCTGATTCATAAGTAATGAGTTTTAATTTTTAAAAAGACATAAAAGAAATACCCACACATTCTCTCCCTCTCTCTCTTTCCCTATCCTGCCCTCTCTTCTTTCCCCATGTGGAAGGACAGGAAGAGAGTAGTTTTAAAGAAAGCTAGTGTCCTGTGAATCCACCTTAAAAGAGTAGTTTCCTGTGCACAGTTTTTTTTTTATTTCAGCATATTATGGGGGTACAGATGTTTAGGTTACGTATGTTGCCCTTCCCCCCCCCCCCCCCAAGTCCGAGTTTCAAATATGTCCATCCTTCGGGTGGTGCGCATTGCGCTCGTTGCCTGTGCACAATTTTTAAACGGAATTGCTTGGAATATCCCTTGAATGAAGGGAAAGCCCAGGTTTATAGCCTTTTTATAATAATCAAAGTAAGCCTATCAATTAGTAAAGCAGACAGAAGCCAATCAAGTGACAGCACTTTGGCTAGAGATACTGTCGTTGCGGTCACAGTGCCGGACAGGAATAGAAGCTAAAGACAGAGCGAGGCGTTTGGTGCCAGAATGTCATCCCAACCCCCAGTGAGATCGTAGTGAATGTACATCCCAGTGATTTAATGTTAAAATGCCCTATGGCGTCACAGATTTTACAATTTCAGTTTGTTTTTATAACTTTGGCTAATAGCTGAGGTTTTCATGAATCAACAGTGCACTCATTTTCTTGGGTGAGGTTAGCCAAATAGTTGTATTGCTGGAGATTTCAGTTCTTAATGCTGCCCAGAATTAAATAGTCTGTTTGATTGTGATGAAATATATCTCTGTGTTTCTCACACATGAATTTTGGTTTTTGTGTAACTTGACATTGATACATCCAAAGTACCTAGCTCTCTTTGTTTGCCGCGCTTGTCGTTGTGCTGAAGCACCGGTCTGTCCCTGGAACAGGCCGCAGGGTCTCTCCCGCGGCAGCGCAAGCGCAACGCCTCGGGCCTGGTGGCCGCTGCCAGCCGCAGACGCGCTTGGTGGCGAGGCCCGGGCGGTGCTCCGACAGCTGACGGCTGTACGGCGATGGGCTTGGGGACGGAGCCCGTGACGGCCCCCGCGAGGAGCTCGGTCGTGCCAGGAGCCCCGAGGAGGAGCCCCAGCTCCGCTCCGGGTGTGGAGCAGAGAGGCTTCCCGAAAGAGAAGGCGCTGGAGTTGCGCGTGGAAGGGCAGCGGGAGCTGGGGGACAAGAAAGTGCGGGATGAGGCTCCAGACGCGTGAGACGAGCTCACGGCAACTTCTGGAACCTGCGGCGATTCCATCTGAAAGGAAGATGGGGGACGCCCGTGAGCTCCCCTCCCCAGGGCACCTTTACTGATCTTCAGAGCAGACGCCGTTATCTCGATGCGCCCTGTCCCGGGGTCGCCGATACCTGCCGCCAGCCTTGGCGTCTGTGAGGACGGTTGCAGTCAGCCGTCTGCAGCTTTAAGGCCTCGACGATCAGGCGACAGGAAGAAGAGCTACCTTGGGGTGCATAAACACGCACACACTTTTATAAAGTCACAAAATACATTCAATATAACCTTACAGTTTTATTTTTATTTGCTAATGTGATTATCACAAGAGACATAAGAGAGAGATTGGATGTAGGTGTCATTACAGTTATTTGAAAATACATAATGCGTTCGGTCACTGACCATAAGTAGACTGTGGCTAATACCCTATTAAAATTATTTTTGAGGGGAAAGTAATTGTGAAGGAAAGCGGAAAATTAGACCACTTCATAGTGGGACCTGAGTTTTTAAATGTGGCGTGATTTTTGACACGTATTTAGAAGTGTGCGCACATCCACGTTGCTGCGCCTGTCCTAGGAAGCAAGTTCCCTGACTGGCGGAGACGCGTCTTCGAAACCCTCTTCGGTTCTCCCGGGTTCTGTCCTCCCTTCCGCCTCCCTCCTCGGCTGCGTCGTGCCCGTGCCACGAGGGCCCGGGACACTCGGCTCCACCCTGGAACTTTCAGCCACGCAGCGGGAGTCACGGCAAGCCCTGCCTGGGGCACGGCCGGGAGCGGGTTCTGAGCGCGGGGCGGTCAGTAAGGAAGGGGGCTCCGTGGCCTCAGCCCGAGGACATCGCCATTCCTGCCTGTGAGAGTGTGAGTGTGTGTGTGTGTGTGTGTGTGTGTGTGAGTGTGTGTGTGTGTGTGAGAGAGAGATTGACTGCTGGCAGCGTCCACACTGATGTCCAGTATGAAGCTATAGAGACAAAGGTCACAAGGAGATCGTTACATTCCTCTGACTGTCCTTAGACGCAGGGGGTGAGGAGGGAGAGACACGACGAGTCGTCTTCACCTCTGTCACCTGCCCGTGCTTTCGTGTCTCATCCTTCCCTGCGTGCGTGGCGCAGCCCACGACGTGACCGTGTGCCTCTCTCCTTCCAGGGCAAGAAAAAGAAGAGGAAGAGAGAGAAACTGCAGGAATCCACGTCAGGTAGGCACCGTGCCACCTTCCAGTCCGTCCTCGGCTCTGCCAGGCGCCGCGTGCGGCAGCCTGCACCCTCCCGCACACTGCTCTCTCTGCCTTGGCTGTGCCTTGCGATCCCTCCACTCTGCTTTTCTTCCTGAAATGCTTTAAAATGTTTAAAAGACCTTTCTTTTAAACGTGACTGTGTGAAGGTACACGTGAAAACTCTTTCCCAAACCCTGTCACCTGGGATCCTGGTTGTGAACTGTGGGGTGTCTTTGTTTTGTTTTGGGGTTTTTTTTTTGCTTTTGTTGTGTGTGTTCTCTTTGCTTTAAAACTTCTGCTTTTTTTCTATTTGCATAACTCCTTAAAATATCATTTTTATCATAATTATACACTATGCTACCTTGTGTCCCCTTGAGAATCTCTTCTGTGATTTGGGTTTTTTTTAAAAATATACAACACTGATAAGGTTTGTCTTCCTTACGCATTAATTCGAGGCATCAGTGAGGTCCCGTTTATTTCCCTTTTTTCTCTTATTGAAAATAAGGCCACCACTTGAACTGCACAAATAAAAATGGCTGGTATAAGAACCATAAAAGTAAAGCAAACAAGTCTACGTGGTGTTGTAGCTACTACGTATTTGGAATGTACAAAAACCTCTCCAATAAAAATTTGTTAAAGACACAATTTTCTGCAGGTACAGGTCCCAGAATGACAGCTGCCTACATCTGAAGCATGGTAAGAACGACTCTCTGGTCCTACCGCTGACGTTGGTTATAAAAAGGCACTTGCTTGTGAATCTCCTGCTCGTATTAATTTCATTCGACATTGCTCCTGAAAGAGGAAAATGCCGCCAATATCCAATTCGTGCTTTTAAAAATCTGGTGGTTTTTATACCGGCTATGTATTTGCGATCTAGTGTGTCTTTCTGTCCGTCTGTCCTCTTGCCCCATTTATTCCTTCTCCAGTCCCCTCCTCCTAACCCTGCCTTCTTAACCATTTCTTACTCACCAGCGGCAAATCTGCTGACTTAGCAGTAAGCAAAATGCCATCTCAGCAAATCTGGGGTGGGTTTGAGGAGCGCCAGTCCAGCCCGGGACTCAAGAGATTTTGCTCTGTCTGTGGAGACTTTTTCTTAATTGAAATGACATGTAAACGCATAAAAATACTTTGTTTCCAGTGAGTAAGATACACGTGCTTCATACATTTAAAAATACGGCAGTGGTACTTACTAAATTAACTGCATTTCTTCTATCAAGTACTTTATTGGTAACCATCGCTAGATTTCACGCTAGTATTTATAGGTAATATTAGCTTTATTTCTTCTTACTAGAATGTTTTCATTTTTATCCACATGACCACGAGCCCAGGGAACCTGGCTTTTGAGGCTTGGTCTTTATTAAGCTCTGAATTTACGTATTTCTGCATCTCCTGGTAACGGTTCTTCCAGAGACGCTGCCTCTGACTCTGCTCCCCCTCTGGGAGCCCACGTCCAGTGAATGGCCAGGTCCCGGCCGCCCAGCCCCGCTTAGGTGCTCACACTTTGCATCTGGACGCAGCCCTTGAACAACGCTTCTGCCTCCGACTTAGCTTCTGCCATTCACCCTCCATGTCCCTCCCAGAGGGACTTTGTCCAACACAAGTTGAGTGTGTCTCTTCTGTACCTAAAAATAGTTGGTGCTTTGCATTAAGGACAGAGTGCGCGCCACCTGGTGGGGATCTGCCTCTACCTCCCCCTGCAGTGTGTACCTGAGATCGCTCCCGAGCCCCGCCTCTCCTCACTGCCTCGGCCCCTGTGAATCCTTGCCCGGCCCAGCAACACCGCCGCACACGCTGTCTCTGCGCAGTTTTCTTAGGAGGAGAACATTGTCCTGCGATTCACCTGGCTCTCGACTAAACTGGGGTGACCCTAACCTAAACTCTGAAAACTGAATTTGGTGCTGAGATTTCAAGCAGCTCTCCCAAAGGAGCCAGCTGAGATTTTGGTACCAAACAGATGTGAATGTTAAATCATCCGATTGCCTGGTCAGTCTGCTTCAGCTTTTTAATCTTCATTTTCCCATCCGTAAAATGGGAATAACGGTATCTGCTGCCTGCAGTCGTCTGTGCGTGATCCAGGCCTCCGGCGTGCTCGGAGCTGACAAGTTCCTCCTTCCTACGGAGTCTCGGTCGGTTGCCCTCTTCTCTACAAATCTTTCTTGATCTTTATTCAGATTCCCCAGGTTTTTCAAAATCCCGTCATTGTAGTTTTATGATATCAACACTCTTCTCAACGAATACTGAGTGGCAGGGTTTCTCCAAGTGAAAGGACCATGCCTTCATATAAGCTGTCAAACAGTGTATCCAAAAAAAGACCACGATTATGGACAATGTCTGCATTTAATTTGACTTAAGGGCTGTTAATCGAGGCTGTCTTCCGAGCCGGCCGCCCGGCTTGCTTGTTGGGACACAGATATGACTCCGTCACGGTCCTGTCCCCTAGAGGCTAGTGGCATCCTAGTAGCAGTAAATCCAGTACAAAGCACAAGCGCACGCTTTGTATTTTTTTTTTTTTTTTAAAGAATGTTGTCCTTTTAATTACTGAACACTTAGGCTTGGCCGGCAGTTTTTTCCACGTTCCGCCTCTTCACCGCAAGCCCCAGAAGTGCAGGGTGCGTGGATTCCGTCCTCTTCTGTTGGCACCAAAATCTTTAAAGGTGATTGTTTCTGTTAACAGTCATGCAAAAATGCATTTCTGTACTTCATAGTTTGGTATTCAGTTGGACGTTCTCCACAATTAACCTTATTTTAGATGTAAAAGATGAGGCTGGGTCGCTTACTTTTTCTAACGGTTAAGAAAAACAAGAATGAAACCGTCCTCCCCCAGCCACCGCTCTCGTCGAGCCACCAGCCCTGCGCGAGGCTCCAGCTGGTCACGCGTCTCTGGTGCTGTCCTCCCCTCTCCTCCTCCGATCGGCCGTGTGGCCCCTGAAGCTACTGTCCCCACACTGTCCCGGTTTGGAGAGCAGAACGGGCCGTCCTCGGACAAGAATCACGGGGCAGAGAGGAACGCAGACTCACGTTCACGAAGGTTGCAGTCGGTCAGGACCGATAACACTCCTGTCGTTCCCCTGCCCCTTTGTTTTGGGAGTTGGGAAACTGTTCCGTGTGTGACTCGTTCAGTCGGCGTTTACTGAGCGCCTCGCGAACGCCAGGTAGAGGGCTGCGGACTCGGACGCGGGGTGGGATGCCGAGGAAGGTCCCGCGCTCACGGCGCTGCTGCGAGGAAGTTTGTGACAAGCAGGAGGGTGTGTGCTGTAGTAAGAATGAAGCAGGGGACCTGGGGTCTGCTTGAGGTTGTGGGGTCCGGAAAGGCGCCTTTGAGGAGGTGACTCTCAGAAGTGACCACTGTCGTCCCTGAAGAACGCAGGGGCGTTCTGTTGTGGAGCAGAGCAGTGGCAGGGAAGTGACAGGCAGGGACACAGAGCGGTGTGTTGGAGTGAGGCCCCCGCAAACTGCACAGACCGGGGCAGGCCGCCGACAGCCCCTGGGCCTCTGGTTTCTCCGGCGTGAGTGACAGGACCGGGCACAGAGGCCTCGAGGACCCCCACGCGCCGCTCCCTCGAGTCCAGCTTTCCGGTGGCTTTGCTCTTGTGGCCTGCGCTGCGTCCCGGTGCTGTCAGAGGGACGCAGGGCTCTGTTTTAGCTGCTAACTCGTTAGAGTGGTTGTGTGTGACCGCAGAGCACACGCATGATCCTGAAGTGACGTGTGCGACGCGGCTGTTCTCGGTTCCTGCGCGGGCCACCCGCCCGGCCCTCCCCAGCGGGGCCGCCTCACGCGTGGCCGCGGCTCCTAGCAGCACTGCCTCTGCTTCGGGGCTTTCTGGACAAGTATAAAATACAAATACAAGCAAAACAAATACAAGAAGCCCACCGTTTCAAAATTATATATTAATAGATTGAAAAGATATTTTCAGGTATTTCATTATGTAGTATTTCCTTCGATTATATAACACCAAAGAGTCAGTATAAACAAGCTAGACACAGACACGCTCACCCACACTGTTTTTGGATTTGGCATAATCTTTATCTCGTGGGCTTGCTGAACTAAATGAAAAATTAAAATGTGTTTTTTACGAAATAAAAAGTTCAGCCTTTATTTCTCTGGGGCCAGGAGGGGTGTGGGAGAGGTCACTGCTCATTGGGCACAGTATAGGATGCAGGAGTTAATCTCGTGCTCGGATTTACATCTTAAAAAGAAGTGTTTCTGGTGTTTTGGTTGACGGTGTTTGGGAGCTTGGCGAGGTGCTTAAGGCTGGGCAACTCGGGGCCCCGTGTCCTCGGGGCCACCTGCAGAGCTGCCCGGCTGCAGGGTGGGAAGGGGGACGGCAGCCCTGAGCTGGGAGCCCTGCTTGAAGCCTGAGACTCAGCCCTGGAGTGTTGTAGATACGTTCACTGGTCTAGTTGGGGGAAATCACTTATTTTCTTGTAATTTCTGAAGCTCATCCTGGTAAGTTCGACACTTTTGTCTGATGTTTGCTCTGAATTCTTTGCTGCAAGTGCAAACGTGGTCGCCGACATTATCTGTAAGCTTCTAGGTTGACATGCTGAGTTAGAAAACAAAGCCAAGCTCTCAAAAAATAATAAAATCAAAAGAAAGTCGCAGGCAACTGGAGAAATCTTAAGGCTTTTGTCCAAAGTCTCCAAGTGAAAATCAAGGCTTTGACAACTAGAAAGTTAAAAAATATGACGTCCCATTTTCCATCTTTTTGTATCGTAACTTAGAAAACACCTGACCTAGAATTACTACTAAACAAGCAGAAGACCCACAGGCATTCGGAACACTCGGGAAGGGAGCCCAGGTCTGGGGCTGGGGGCTGTCACACCGCAGCCGTGGCGACACGTGGCTGTGCAGCTCCCCTTGGGCCCAGGTGGAACCTCCTGGGACAACATCTGACCTTGCTCAGCACTGACCCAGCGCTCGGCCTGCAGGGTCCTTAGCATGGCGGCCAGCCTGGTGGGGGACCTCGTGTTGCCATTTTACC